TGGGCGTGACCGCGGGGGTCGGAAGGGCCTCGAGAGGTAGGGGCGGGCGTGGCTTCCTCCTCCTTTGGTCGCTCTACATAAACATCTCCTCCTCTGTCGTTCCGTTTCTCCTCCTTCCTTCAATCTTTTCCAGCATCAGGGTCTTTTCAAAAGACTCAGTTCTTCGCATCAGATGGCCAAAGTTTTGGAGTTTCAGCTTCAGCATCAGTCCTTCCAATGAACATTCCAATGAACATCCTTTAGGATGGACTGGTTGGATCTCCTTGCAGTCCAAGGGACTCTCAAAAGTCTTCTCCAACACCACAGTTCAAAAGCATCAATTCTTTGGCCCTCAGCCTTTTTTATAGCCCAACTCTCACACCCATACATGACTAGTGGAAAAACCATAGCTTTGACTAGACAGACCTTTGTCAGTAAAGTGATTTCTGTTTTTTAATATGTTGTCTAAGTTTGTCATAGCTTTCCTTCGAAGGAGCAAGTTTCTTTTAACTTCAAAGTGGATCTGATCCCTGGCTTTGCCGAGCGTTGTCAGCAGAGGGTGCTGCAGAGGTTGCCAGAGAAGGTTTGCTACAGGGCCGCTCCCCTGGCCTCAGGCGCCACTTCCCCATGGTCCCACATTTGCCTAGACAGCTCCCCCCGAACATCTCTCCCAGGAAGACCGCAGGGTGGATTTCTGGCAAGTTCTATAGGGTGATCGTTCAGGAAATGGGGGTTAAAAGCGTCAATCTTACAACCGAGAATAGAGTACAAGCCCTGCAAGCAAAGACCTCCCCCCCAGCTCCGAGGCTGGAGGTGCAGTAGGCAGAGTTTCAGAACAGGGGCCACTGCTTGCAATGCTCGGGCTGGTTGTCCTGCTGTGAGAGCCGGCAACCCTCAGCCTGATCATGATGCTCCTCTGGGGTCAGCCAGGGCCCCTCTCCTCTCCCACCCACCCTGAGTTCCAGTCCCTCCACTTCTAACTGGAGCCCCTCTCCCCCGCAGCCCTAGTCTTAGAACAGTCTCTCCCACCAAACTCACAGCAGCAGCCTCCCGGCGGGCTCCCTGCTGCTACCCTGCCATACTTGCTGGAGGCCAGCTTGTCATAGTCAGCACAGCACCCAGTGGAAACAAGTCCAACCGCGTCCCTCCCCCAGGGGCTCCCGTCTCACACAGCAGGAAAGCCAGTCGAGCTGCCACCCACAGCTCCTACACAGTCGGGTCTCATTCGTGCTCTGCCCGTGTTCATTTAGCTCCAAATCATGACACCCTCCTGCCACAGGCCATTGTCTGTGCGACATGTCACACCGTCCAACTGTCCCCCTACGTCTTAATCCATCATCCCTTCTCCCTGAGGACTTCCCTGGCCTCCCTACTTGAGATCTCGCCTCCATACACACGTGCACGTGGAGAGACGTGCACGCGCACAGGCACACTCACAGCCCCTTGCCTGCTTGGTTTTTCCTCCTTGTATCAGTAGTCGGGGGTCAATAGGGAGACAGAGACCACACAGTGACTTCAGGGAAAGTTTGACATAAAAACTCCTGACAGTGAGATTAACTATAAAGAATGCTATATTCAAGAAAGGACAGAACACTCCCTGCTCAGTGCTCCCAGGACCCAACTCCATTATTGCAGAGCAACAGGGAAAATTGGATCTGAATCTGAGGCAGTAAGTGGAAAGTGGACAAGTCTGACCTTCTGGAAAGTCAGCTTCTGTATGCAGCCTTTGAAACATACCTGAACTTCCTATCAACAAAAACAATGCTATATTTTCACCTAACAAGGTACATCTATTCTTACTGTAAGTGAAGAAGTCTCACTTTCCCCCGAGGGAGAGCATCCGTGCAGTCCCAGCAGCCACTGCATCATCACTGACTACATTCATCACTCCTCAGATTGTCACTCCCCCACTGAGTATTCTCTTATGCTCTCAAAACTAAATAGTAAAGTTAACTTTTGACAACTTGTGTATGTTTTAACTAAATTTACTATTCAGTTCAGTTCAGTCTCTGAGCTGTGTCCAATTCTTTGTGACCCATGGACTGCAGCACGCCAGGCCTCTGTCCATCACCAACTCCCTGAGCTTGCTCAAACTCATGTCCATTGAGTCAGTGATGCCATCTCATCCTCGGTCATCCCCTTCTCCTGCCTTCAATCTTTCCTACCATCAGGGTCTTTTCTAATGAGTCAGTTCTTCACATCAGGTGGGCAAATATTGGAGCTTCATCTTCAGCATCAGTCCTTCCAATGAATATTCAGGACTGATTTCCTTTAGAATTGACTGGTTTGATCTTGCAATGCAAGGGACTCTCAAGAGTCTTCTCCAACACCACAGTTCAAAAGCATCAATTCTTCGGCACTCAGCCTTCTTTATGATCCAACTCTCACATCTGTACATGACTACTGGAAAAACCATCAGCTTTGACTAGATGGACCTTTGTTGGCAAAGTAATGTCTCTGCTTTTTAATATGCTGTCTAGGTTTGTCACAGCTTTTCTTCCAAGGAGAGTCTTTTAATTTCATGGCTGCAGTCACCATCTGCAGTGATTTTGGACCTCAAGAAAATAAAATTTCTCACTGTCTTCAATTGTTTCCCGATCTACTGGCCATGAAGTGATAGGAACGGATGCCATGATCTTAGTTTTCTGAATGTTGAGCTTTAAGCCAAATTTTTCACTCTCCTCTTTCACTTTCATCAAGAGGCTCTTTAGTTCTTCACTTTCTGGCATAAGGGTGGTGTCATCTGTATATCAGCATCATCTTTCAGGATTTGAAATAGCTCAGCTGGAATTCCATCACCTCCACTAGCTTTGTTCACAGTGATGCTTCCTAAGGCCCACTTGACTTTGCACTCCAGGATGTCTGGCTCTAGGTAAGTGATCACACCATCGTGGTTATCTGGGTCATTAAGATTTTTTTGTGTAGTTCTTCTGTGTATTTTTGCCACCCCTTCTTAATAACTTCTGCTTTTGTTAGGTTCATATCATTTCTGTTCTTTATTGTGCCCATCTTTGAATGAAATGTTCCCTTGGTATTTCTAATTTTCTTGAAAAGATCTATCGTCTTTTCCATTCTATTGTTTTCCTTATTTCTTTGCATCGATCACCTCGGAAGGCTTTCTTATCTCTCCTTGCTGTTCTTTGGAAGTCTGCATTCAGCCGGGTATTATCTTTCCTTTTCTCCTTTGCCTTTCGCTTCTCTTCTTTTCTCAGTTATTTATAAGGCCTCCTCAGATAACCATTTTGCCTTTTTGCAAAATGTGTATGTATTATTCCAACTCATTTAACATTTCTAATTGAAGTATAGTTGATTTACTGTATTGTGTTAGTTTCTGCTGTATAGCAAAGTAAATCAGTTACATGTACACATTCACCCGCTTGTTTTTAGATTTCCTGCCCATTTAGGTCACCGCAAAGCACTGAGTAAAGTTCCTTGTGCTGTACAGTAGGTTCTTGTTAGTTATCTATTTTATATATGGTATCAACACTGTGTATATGTCAATTCCAACATTGTGTATTTCTTAAAAATGGAAAATGGAGAAAAGACAACAGTTAGTTTATATATATTATACATGCAAAAAGAAAACATGCTAAGCTACTACAATTCTGGTTTCTGAAATTGGTCACAAGATATAGTTGATAGTTATAGCTTTTCCATAGAATTCTCTTCCCATGGTGTACACAGAACAGTTAGTACAAAGCCAGGCTGAATCCACAATTTCTGGACAGAAGGACCAAATAAAATAAACTCTATCACTATAAATACCAAAAGCAAAATTATTCACCAATTAATTAGAAAAAGTAAAACTGTGATATAAAATAAATGTTCCTCTGGAGCACAGTCAGAACAGGAAGAACCATGGCCTGTCCCGTTCTTCTCTCCAAGAGCCCAGCCGTGCAGCAGTTCACAGACTGGGATAACAGAAAACTGCACGCACACATACTCAGTCGCTCAGTCGTGTCTGACTCTCTGCAAGCCCATGCACTGCAGCCCGCCAGGCTCCTCTGTCCTTGGGATTATCCCAGCAAGAGTACTGGAGTGGGTTGCCATTTCCTCCTCCAGGGGAATCCTCCAGACCCAGAGATCAAACCTGAGTCTCCTGCATTAGCAGGCAGATCCTTTACCACTGAGACACCTGGGACTCCCCAGGTCGAAGACTACTCCTCTATAAACCAAACAGGATCAACACAGAGAAACCCACACCTGTATACACAGTAACCAAATGCCTGGATGTCAAAGACAAAGAAATCCATGAAAACCACAAGAGGAAAATGACCCCCATCACACCCACAGGAAGGATGACACAGTTAAATAGCCGAGTTCTCACAAGAAATGACGGAGGCCACAGGCAGTGATATAACGTGCTCAGAGTGCCGAAAGAAAAACGAAACAAAAAATAAAAAGTGTCAAAGGAAAGACAAACCTGCCAAAGAATAAATTTTATGCTCAGCAATACTATCCTTCAAAAATGAAAGTTGGAGAAAAAAATGAAAATGAGATAAAGATATTCCCAGCAAACAAAACAAAATTTATTGGGAAGAGATTTGCCTTATCAGAAACACTAAAGAAAGTTCATTAAACTGAAAGAAAATGAAAAGAAAAAGAAAGTTCTTCAAACTGTTCTCTCAAATCAATAGGAGTGAAGAAAAAAAATTTAAGACAGAAAAAAAAACCAGGAGTGAAGAACCAAATTCAATGACTTATAAAAACACTTATCTACCAAGATCAGTGGGGTTTATTGCAAGAATGCAAAGTTGGTTTAGCATCCAAAATTCAATTAATGTAATACACTATATTAATAGAAAAGAGGATAAAACCCACAAGATTGTCACAATAGCTGCAGAAAAGGCATTTTACTAAATTTAACACATATTCATGATAAATACTCTCAACAAACTAGGACCAGATGGGAAATTCATCAACCTCATTAAAGGAAAAATCTATAGCTAACATCAGACTTAATGGTGAAAGATGTTATGTTTTTTAAAGACTGGAAACAAGCCAAGGATGTCTGCACTCACCACCTCAGTTGTACACTGTAGGATTCTGCAAGCAGCTTGGTAGTCGCCAATCTATGCTGACAAGTAAAGGGCTAAACAGACTGAAAAATTAGCAGCTCTTCTTGGATCTGTAAGAGAAGGCAGGACACAGTAAACCACTCTTCCCAAGATAGGAGAGACAGGCAGGTGAATATAAGTCGTCACAGTCAGCAAACATGCATGAGAGAAACTGACGTGAGACTCTGTGTGGGGAGGTGGGACTGAATTGTAATTAATGAATTTCTGGAGGCTCACCATAGGCCAGTTTGAGAGTTAAAAACACCATGGGGACTGAGTCCTAAGGGAGTCCATACAATACTCTGAGATTTACCCCTGGAGCATGACCAGGTTCCCAAGTAAATATAGCAGCAAAGTCCCCTCAAGCTTTCGCTGGGGGAGGGAAGGAACCATTCCCAACGTCCAGAGCACTCTGTTTTTCCTAACAAGGCTGCCTTCAAGGAAATCTCATTAGCCAGAGCCTGACCTGCTGGGGCATTATCAGAGCCTAACTGACCTGGGAGAGGGAAATGTTCAGCTCCAGCTTCCCCTGGACATCCTGCCCCAACCAAGGGGAGATAAAAAATGGAGAAACCCTTGTGAAGTTCCCATCCAGAGGCACAGACTCAGTAAGAGACTGGGGCCTCATCCCAAGATGTATCCAGGCCTGGGCTCTAGTCCCAGGGAAGAAGGCTTCCCCTCCCCCTAGCTGTCCCCACCCCTCACCTGACATTACTAAGGCTTGCTTTTAGCAGGTCCTTTCACCCAGTACATCATATCCAGCTGTCACGAAATAATTACAAGGCAAATCACACAATTAAATGGCAAAAGACACAATCGGAAGAGACAAAGCACAGTCAGAACAGACATGGCAGAGAGATTGGAATTATCAGACCTGCCACGATTTTTTACAGGAAAAGGATACAAGGTAAAATCAGCAAAGAGAAAAGGCTCATGGGGCCAAGCTTGGGGAAGACCATGTGCCAGCTTCCAGGGTCCTCCTGGAGTTACACTGGAGAAGCTTAATTGTCCCAGGGAGTCATGACAAAGGGTGTGAAATGTTGCCAAACAGGGAAGCTCATTAGAAACTCATGGTTTTAGCAGGAGCTTACATTTGTTTGCTAAGGCTGCTGTAACAGATACAAACCTGGAGATCTGAACAACAGAAATCTGTTCTCTCACCGTGTAGGAGGCCAGGAGTCTGAAATCAAGGTGTCAGCAGGCTTGATTCCTTCCAGAGGCTCTGAGGGACAAACCATTTCACACCTCTGCTAACTTCTAGTTGCTGTCAGCAATCCATGTAGGTGTATCACTCCAGTCCCCATCTCTGTCTAATGTTTATTTATGACGCCCTGGGTCTTCACTGCCGCATGTGGGCTTTCTCCAGTTGCGGTGAGCAGGGGCTACTCTTCCTGGTAGTCCAGGGGTTAAGAATCCTACTGTGCTCCACAACAACAGAGCTGCTCCCACTTGCCGCAACTAGAGAGAGAGCCTGTGCACAGCAACAAAGACCTAGGGCAGCCAAAAAACAATGGAAAATAATTTAAATTAAAAAAATAATGAAAAGGCTGACAACATCAAATGCTGGCAAGGATGTGGAAAAACTGGAACCTTCATACATTGCTAGTGGTAACATCAAATGGTAAAGCCTCTTTGGAAAATAGTTTGACAGTTTCTTATATACTGGACATACAGCCCAGAAAAGGGGGAGAAGGAGGAGCTGTGATAATGTGATAATTGGAGTCCACTGGAGGAGCTTGGAGGCTTCCCAAAGGTTGGGCTGTGACAGTCTTTGATTGGCTTGGATGTCCTTGGTGGAGGGAAGTTTTCTGCTTCCTGTTAGAGAAAAAGCAGAGACACCTGTCTTCCTGTTTCTGATAACTGACGATGAACGGTGAGCATGGGAATGCTCCCTACCAGAGTGTTCTGGCTATCCTGGCTCCAACTTCCACTGAAATTTCTTTAAATAACTCCACTGAGAGTGGATTATGAAAATGTCATGTATCCAGACAATGAACTACTAGTCATATAAGGGAACAAATTACTGATATTCACAACAACATGAATGAACTTCAAAAATACTATGCTAAGTTATGACCAACCTAGACAGCATAATAAAAAGCAGAGACATTACTTTACCAACAAAGGTCCATCTACTCAAGGCTATGGTTTTTCCAGTAGTCATGTATGGGTGTGAGAGTTGGACTATAAAGAAAGCTGAGCGCCGAAGAATTGACGCTTTTGAACTGTGGTGTTGGACAAGATTCTTGAGAGTCCCTTGGACTGCAAGGTGATCCAACCAGTCCATCCTAAAGTAGATCAGTCCTGGGTGTTCATTGGAAGGACTGATGCTGAAGCTGAAACTCCAATACTTTGGCCACCTGATGTGAAGAGCTAACTCATTTGAAAAGACCCTGATGCTGGGAAAGATTGAAGGCAGGAGGAGAAGGGGACAACAGAAGATGAGATGGTTGGATGGCATCACTGACTCAATGGACATGAGTTTGGGTAAACTCCGGGAGTTGGTGATGGACAGGGAGGACTGGCGTGCTGTGGTCCATAGGGTTGCAAAGAGTCAGACATGACTGAGCGACTGAACTGAACTGAAGTGCAAGAAACCAAACAGAAAGGCTGCATATTGTATGTAGTTGTTTCCTGCATGCCTAAGTCACTTCAGTCTTGTCTGACTCTTTGCGACCCTATGGACTGTAGCCCACCAGTTTCCTCTGTCCATGGGATTCTTCAGGCAAAAATACAGGGGTGGGTTGCCACGCCCTTCTCCTGGGGATCTTCCCAATCCAGGGATCAAATCCAAGTTTCTTATGTCTCCTGCACTGGCAATTGGGTTTTTTTGTTTGTTTTACCACTAGCACCAGCTGGGAAGCTATAGGGCTGTTGTAACAAATTACGACAAATTTAGTGGCTTAAAACAATGCACACTAACAGTTCTGGAAGTCAGAAATCTGAATTGCATCTTATGGGGCTTAAATCAAGGTGTCGCGCAGAACTGCATTCCTTCTGGAGGCTCGAGGGGTCCCTTGCCTGTTCTAGGGTCTGGAGGGTGCCTGCATTCCTTGGTTCATGGTCCCTTTCTCCATCTTCAAAGCCAGCAGTGTGGCAACTACCACTTTCTCTTCCTGATTCCCTTATCACATTGCCTTTTCTGCCTCATTTTGGCCCATGGACTCTAGGCAGAAGTGTTATATCACTTGTTGTTGCTTAGTCTCTAAGCTGTGTCCAAGTCTTTAGCAACCCCATGGACTCAAGCCTTCCATGGCTCCTCTATCCACAAGATTTCCCAGGCAAGAATGCTGGAGTGGGTTGTCATTTCCTTCTCCAGGGGATCTTCCTGATCACTTGTAGGCCAAGGTAATTAATAGCTAGCAGGTCTCCACTAATCTCTTTTCCACTGCCAGTGCCACAGGAGACTGTGTTCCAGAAGTAAGTCAAGAAGAGCCACCTGACTCTCCCATCGGTCTATGGACAGTGAAAAATCTACTGAAGACTTGGGAGTTGTTACTCCGACCTAGTCTATCAGGGGGGCGGCACATTTTGAGGGGCAAGGGCAGGTGATGCCATAGAGGAAGAGGGGGCTTGCTATCTGCCCCCAGCCACACTTCCCCACCGCAGCAGAAAATAAAACGGCACTGCTGGCTGGATTTATGTGTTATACACAGGGTTCGGTTTGGACAGACGGGTCTGACACAATAATGCAAGGCTGTCCAACAGGGGCCCAGAAATATCTAGAAGAGTGGTGGACCCAAGAGGCGAGGAGGGCACTGGCGAGGGTCTCCCAGCACCCGCTATCCGGGCTAGAGGAGGCAAAAGTGCCCTAGAGGTCGCACACGGACCGTCTGCAAAACCGCACACCAGGAGGCGACCACGGGGACAAAACTCGAGGGAGACCAGGACAGCCAGTAGAGCGGGAGCTCGGTAACGACGAAACCTGGCCGGGCAGGACGCTCGCCCGGTTGGGCCAGGCAGGGACACACCATGGCCCCCGGGGCCGCTAACCCCGCCCAGGCTCTGCCTCCCCGATCACTCCTCCCACCGGAAGTCTCTCCTCCAGGGGGTTCGTGCCGCTCTGGCCCGCGCGGACGCGTCTCGCTGATGGTCTCGGAGCCGCTCCGCCGCACGGCGCTCCTCCAGCCGCCAGGGGCGCGCGAGATCGCGCCTGGGCCGTTCTGGCCCGCGACGGCCGCTCGACTGCTCCGCCGCGCGGTGCTGACGCGCCCGGACTGCTGCCGCCGGTCGGTTCCCTCGGCAACGCCTCCGGCCGTTCCCCGGGCAACGCTGGGCGGTGCCGGTAGCCGCGGTTATGGACCTGGGGGCCGGCGCCGGGCAGCAGCCGGCTCGCGGCCGCCTCGGCGCGCCGTCCTCAGGGACGCGGGCCCCGGGGACGCCCTGGGCACGCTTCTCGGCCTGGCTGGAGTGCGTGTGCGTGGTCACCTTCGACCTGGAGCTGGGCCAGGCACTGGAGGTGAGGGGGCCGCGGGCCGGGGGCCGGGGCGGCCGCGGAGGGCGGGTCCTGCGCTGTCGCTGGAGGCGGATGCGGCTCAGGCGTTGCCGAGGGGCGTGGGAATCCCACTGCCCGTGAGATACCCTCCGATTCTTCCCCTTCTGGAACCCTGCACTGGTCCCCTCCTGAAACACGCCCCCCAAGCAGAGGGGAAAATGTGAAGTTGCCAAGACCAATGTATGGGATGGAGGAGAGGGGAGCCCTGCACTTCTGATCCCCAAAGTGGCACACTTGATGATTCCTCACCAGGAAAAGCCTGCCTCCCCTCCCCCCCCCCCCCCCCCCCCCCCCCCCCCCCCCNCCACCCCCCCGGCCTTTCCAACACTATAACACCTTCTCCCCTCAGTTACTCCAGCCAGAATCCCAGGGGTCACCCTTGACTCTTCCCCTCCCTCCATCCCACATCCTGGGAGGATGCAAGGCTGACAGCTCCACCTGCAGCAAGGCTCCAGATCGGTCAACCTCAAGTCCAATATCTGTGGTCTCTTGCTTAAACCTTTGGACTCCTCCTCCTTCACTTAGAACCTGATCCAGACCCCTGGTGGGTCACATCCAGCCCCAGGAGTCATCTTTCTGTGCACTAACTGCACCCAGCCCACCCAGCCTAGGGGACTCCCCCTCCCTGCGAGACTCTTTCCCACCCCCATCCACATGGATGTAGATGACAAAGTGACAGACTGGGGGAGGAAGGCCTTCTGTAGTTGAGCAGATCCGTTGGGATGGTCCTTTGTGCCCTGAAGGCCATGACACAGACCGTGGAGCTGACCAGGGCAGGGGAGGCTTAGGAGGTAGCCTTCAGCACGCTGTCTGAGGCAGCTTTCTGAGAACCCAGGAGGTGGTGCATCCCATGACTGCAGTTGGCCAAGGTGAGCCCGGTCAGCCGTCATGGGAAAGCCAGCGTCAGGGTGGGGGCTGTTTTCCAAGACGTTGCTGAACTCCACGAGACTGTGGGAAGCTCATGTCCTAATGGGCAGAGGGCTGACACTCCCCAGCTCGCTGTGGAGACCCCATTCGCAACAGCTGTCCCCTGATGGCACACCAGGCTAACTTGATGCAGGGACCTGAGCCCAGAGAGGTCAGGTGATTTGTCCAACATCACAGAGTCCTTTCCTGCTGGTGCCCAAATTGTTCCTGATAAAATCACAAGGGAAGGGAGTCCACTGTCTCCTTAAGGCATTCTCATGTATGATTTTCTAGAACTTAACCATTCAAGCAAGAACAGTTAAAGGCTCCATGTGCTGAGCTTCCAAGCTTTGTAGAGGCTGTATAACTCCTGGGGTGTTGGGGGGCCGGCATGTCTGTGCAGGGATCGGGCAGGGCGGCCACCTGGTGCTCACCGGTTTGCATCTTGTCTTTCTTCTCTCCCCTGGAGATCATGGGGAGGATCAGGGGTCATTTCAGCTGAGTCCACAATCACTCATGGAACACCTGCTCTGCACTTGTTCATTTATTATGGGCTTGGCCTAGCTGAGCACCACAGAGGCTCTGGTACTGTGCTTGGCGCTACCCTCCAGGCACTCATGGGTCATGGAGACTCCATGGGCAGACGCAGCTCAGAGGAAGGAACGGTGCTTGGCCAGATCTTGCAGGATGAGAAGGAGGCATCCAGACCTGGGAGGGGGGCTGTTTCAAATAACCTCTCCACCCAAAAGCCAGCAAAGGCAAAGGCAAGGAGCCAGCCGTTCAGTCACTCAATAAATCCAGTATCAAGCGACTGCTAGGCTCCACGGTCCTGGTGCTGGACATGAGGATGCAGAGCTGGGTGCGATGCTGGGGCCTGCCCACCAGGAGTTCATGTCCTGTGCTAGAGACATGGAGAGTCAGTGGTGCAGGACCCGCCCCCTCCAGAGCATGCAGGATGTGTGTGGTGTCCCACCCATGTGGGTGCTCTGGAGCCTGCAGGCAGGCAGAGGTCAGATGTGCGGGGAGGGCGGGCAGGGCTGTGCTCTCAGCAGAGGGCCCGGCTCTCCTGCCTCAGGCCTTGGCAGTGCTCCTCCCTGCAGCCCTGCCTACCACAAAGCCTGTGCGGAGAACCACGGCCAAGGGCCCAGGGGGTCCTGTCTAGACCGGGTGTCAGCGTCCTCCTGGCTCACCATAGCTCCCGCACTGCACAGTCTCAGGACTCTTTCAGTCTTCAAAACCACTGGGTACCCAAGGGGCTTTTTATGTGGGTCGCATCTATCAATGTTCTCTACACTAAAAGTTAAAACTGAAAATTAAAAATGCATATTAATCCATTTTGAAACATGAGATACCATTTATGTTAATATAGCTATTAATATCCCCACCAAAACAACCATATTTTCAGAAACAAGTTTAGTGAGGAGAATGGCATTATTTGATACTTTTACATCCCTTTTAATGTCCAGCCGAATGGAAGGCAGCTAGACAGACCCACATGTCATGAAGACCCCCATGTCAGCTTCAGTCAGTGCCCCTGACGGCCTGCGTCACAACCTCAGGAAGTGATGCTGCACACTGTGAGAAGGAGTGACTGGAAAAGGCAGCCTCGGCTCGGGGAGCCTAGGGCACCCAAGGACACCCACCCCGCTCTTGGAGAAGTGCTCTCTTAGAGGTGCCTCCTCCAGCAAGGCGAAGCTCCCACGTCTGTCTTCCTCGGGACACCTGGGTTACGGCAGCACCACCCCTGAGCCCTGAGGCTTGGGTGGGAAGGAGAGGGGACAAGGCTCACCGTGGGGCAGGCTCCGCGCCCTCTAGCTGTCACTGTGGGTCTGCCCCGTTTGTCTCCTTGCTCAGGCGTGGCCTTCCCCCTGACCTCTGCTCCCAGCTCCTGAACTCTGAACACGGAGCCCTGGGCAGGGCTGTGAGCCTGCTCAGACGCTGCAAGATTCCTGTGCCTGCAGACCAGATTCAGACCCCTGACCTCAGCACTGAGAGCCGGTTGTGCCCTGCCCCAGCCGCCAGGCACCTACCTTTCCTCTGCCCTTCTCAGCAGACATGCAGGGGCCTGGCCTGTGTGGCCCTGGGCTCCTGCCTCTCTGGGCGCTGTCTCCAGGTACCTCTGTGGGCCTGCCCCACAGACAAACAGTGTTTGGCCAACTCCCCGCCCACCTCTTCCCAGGCGGTTCAGTGGTAAAGAATCTGCCTGCCAAGCAGGAAACACAGGTTCAATCCCTGGGTTGGGAAGAGCCCCTGAAGGAGGAGATGACAACCCACTCCAGTGTTCTTGCCTGGGAAGTCCCATGGACGGAAGAGCCTGGCGGGCTGCAGTCCATGGGGTCACAGAGAGTCAGATGCGACTTTGCGACTAAGCAGCCAACAGCAGCAGCCTCCCTCCTCTCGGCCCTTCCTTCCTGGTGCCTCCTTAGCTGACATCTTCTTGTGATTTCTTCTTGACCCACCTGTTCCACTGTCCTTTAGAGACATGTTTTCACATTCTCCTTAAATATAAGCCCCTCAGAGTTGGGGGTTCAGTTTCAGGCCACTGTAGTAAAGCCAGTCACACAGATTTCCTGGCTTCCCAGCACATATAAAAGTTATGGCTACACTAGCTTCCCTGGTGGTTCAGATGGTAAAGAATCCGCCTGCACTGCAGGAGACCTGGGTTCAATCCCTGGGTTGGGAAGATCCCCTGGAGAAGGGAATGGCAATCCACTCCAGTATTCTTGCCTGGAGAATCCCATGAACAGAGGAGGCTGGTGGGCTACAGTCCACAGGGTCTCATAGAGTCGGACACGACTGAGCTACTAACACTGCTACTACACTAGAGTGGTCTAATAAGCATACAAGAAATAGCACTGTATCTAAAAAACAATGTATGTGCCTTTATTTCAAAATGCTTTCCTGCTAAAAAACGCTATCATCTTGAGCCTTCAGTAAGTCATCTTTTTGCAACAGTAATACCAAATACATAGATCACAGGTCACTGAAACAAATACAGTGATGAAAAAGTTTGAAATATTGTGGAAGTTATGAGGATATGATGCAGAGATGTGAAGTGAGCAAATGTTGGAAAATGACACCCATAGAATTGCTACAAACCCTTAATTTGTAAAATAGTCATGACATCCACAAAGCACAATAAAGCAAAGTGTAATAAATTGAGACATGCCTGTACAGTATCTGGTGAGGGTCTACTCCCTGCCAGGGGCTCCGAGGCAGAAGTGCCTGGGACACAGTCCCGGTCCTCTTAACACTTGGAGGCAGCAGAGACCCAGAGCAAATAGGACAAAAGCTATGTGACTGCGCCAGTGGGGGTCCCAGGGCCCAGCACCCACCATCTGGGGCTCAGGGCACACCTCAGAAAAAGCCTAATTTCAGCCAAAACCCAAGTCCTCCTCTGCCTGGGAGTTTGGCACACAGTGAACAGGGCGCCACGCACACAGGCCCCCCCAGGTCCTGGCCCGCTGCAGGCAGCCACTGGGAGAGCCAGCCTGCAACGTCTGAGCACAGGCCAGGGCAGCGGCGACACCCAAGGTACCGCAGTGCTCCAGGGGATGCCTGGGGGCCACAGGGACTGAGGGCTCTGGGGGCCGCCTGCCGTTTTTCCTGTCCCGCAAGGAGATCCATTCAGGCCCGCTGCCTGAGCACAGGGCTGCTGGCCGGACCGGCAAGCCTCAACCTGCTTGGCTCCCCTCGAGCGTGGCCCTTTTCCCACATGCTCCCTGGCCACTCCTGGGGCTTGGGTACCCCAGGGGTCGTGCTCCAAACCGGGAGCAGGCTGGAAGCTCCCGGACTCCTGACTAGCAGGGGTTGAAGTGAAGATGCTCAGAGGCAGGGGTGCCAGCGTCAGGCACCACCTAGTGAAGCCAGGACGAGGAGGCTGGCTGTGCTGGCTGCGTGAGCAGGCAGGGAGGGCAGGTGCAGCCCAAGCCCCTCTGGCTGGGCAGAGTGAGGGTGGAGGCCAGCAGGGCCTGCCCCCCTCCAAGTGAGGGGGTGTCTCGGGGATGGGCGTTTGGGCCACAGAGACAGAGAGGCTGGTCTGAGCAAGCGCCTGTGAAGGTGAGGATGTGGGCAGGGAGTTGAGCTTGGTCAGGATGTGCCAGCCAAGAAACAGGAAGTACAGTGGCCAGGAGTGGCCCCATGATGCAGGGCCCAGGGCCCTGGTGGGGCGTGGAGCCCAGGAGAGGGGGAGGGTCAGCAGGGAGTCAGAGGAGGCGGAGGGGGTGCAGCCCAGGCCGGCCCAGCCTGTGCCACCAAGCGGTGTGTGTCCCCCGCAGCTGGTGTACCCCAGCGACTTCCAGCTCACGGACAAGGAGGTGGGTCCCAGCCCTCTCGGGAGCAGACCTCGCCTGGGGAGCAGACCCTCACCGGGTTTCTGTGTTTCAGAAAAGCAGCATCTGCTACCTGTCCTTTCCTGACTCCCACTCAGGTAGGCCACCCTGCCACCTCTCCCTGCCCTGCCCTGCCCTGGGCGTCGCTCTGGGACCGGTCCAGCCCACTCCGCCTGGAGCCCCGGCCCCGCTTCCCTCTCTGGGGGATGTTTTGGGTCCTGTGCGGCCGCCAGGCTCCCTGGCTCCTGTGGAAAGAGGTGTCTGGGCAGAGGGACCCGTGGGTTCTGGTCTTTGCCCCAGTGGAGGGGCCGCCAGCTCCTGGCGTCAGCCCCTCCCCGGGGCTTGCGTGTGTGGCCAGCCTGTTTTCCGTCCCAGGCAGGCTCAGCCAGGCCACACGGAGGTCCTGCCACCCCCCAGCGGGCTTCCTCCGTGCCCACACTGCGGGGCTGTCTGTGCACATGTCCGTGTGCCGAGTTTAAACCCCAAGGTACAGGGGTCAGGACACAGGGGCCTCTGTCGGGAGATGCAGACCCTGAGGGCTGGACTCACCACGGCGTTCGCAGACAAGCAGAGGCCTGCCCCGGGGGGCCCTGGCCTCCCCCCCTCAACTGCGTGCTGGCAGGAGAGACCCCAGCTGGACCCAGTGTGATGGGCCCTCTCTTCCCCAGGCTGCCTCGGGGACACGCAGTTCAGCTTTCGCATCCGTCAGTGTGGAGGACAGAGGCGCCCCGGGCACGTGGGTGAGAAGCGCGGCGACAGTGGGGCCCCCGCGTCTCTGCAGGTGAGCGGCTGCCCCCTCCCCTCTGCTGTGGGCCAGGATGGGCGCCGGGAGCTGCCCCTTCAGACCGCCTGGCCCACCCCCCAGCCGGCAGGGTATTCAGCTGCTGCAGGCTGAGCCTAGTGCCCCTAGCCTCAAGCCGGGGCCAGCCAGCCCTTCGGAGGCCCTGCCGGTGTCCCTGGAGCTGGTCCTGGGCGCTTGTGTGCACCAGGGCAGGGCTCAGGGTGCAGGCCTGCAGGCCTCCTGAGCCCTGAACTGCTGCCCGGGTCTGCGTAGATGTCCCTGGAGAGATTCCCAGAGCCGAGATTCCCAGGCCAGCTTAGGGCTGGGGAGAGCGTGCCGCGACCTGGGTGGGGGTCTGCGGGAGCAGCAGGGAGTGTGGGCAGGGGGGCGCGGCCTGTCTGACACCCCTCCTTCCAGAGGGAGCCTGCACACTTCTTTGGCTACGTGTACTTCAGGCAGGTGAAGGACAGTTCCATGAAGCGGGGCTACTTCCAGAAGGTGAGCCCCGGGGTGGCTCCACTGGGAGCTGGGGGCAGCCACTGTCAGGAGGGACTGACGGCCTTGGGGTCCAGAGCCTCCAGGAGCATCCCCTCCTCTGCAGCCCCGGGCCCTTGGCGCTGGGCTGAGCCCACCACCCGCCAGGCCGGGGTGTGGGCTCTGTGGAGGCCCACAGCCTTGTCTGGCCCAGGCTCCCTGCCCCTCCCCACGCTGGGATGTGGGTGGGGCCCCTTGTCACACTCTCAGTGACTTCAGTCTTGAGCTCAGGTGCCAGAGCAGAAGGCGCTTGAACCCCAGGGAGATCCTCCCAGAACCCCGGCCGCGTGCCTTTCCCTGAAGGCCTGGGCTCCGGCTCGCCCTGCTGAGGTGGTGGTTTTCTAGTGACCTGAAGTCTCTCGTCGGGCTGTTCCTGGGACAGCTGTCCTAGAAAGCCGGTGGGACGCCCTTCCTGGGCAGCCCTGGAGAGCTGGGCCCGGGGGTCCCTGCCGGGTCCTTGGGGGCTGGGGTGACGTCTCACCGGCCCCCGGGCCCTGCAGTCGCTGGTGCTGCTGTCCCGCCTGCCCTTCGTCCGGCTGTTCCAGGCACTGCTGGGCCTGGTGGCCCCTGAGTTCTTTGACAAGCTGGCGCCCTGCCTGGAAGCAGGTGAGTGGCCAGCAGGTGCAGTGGGGCCGCTACGTCTGCCCGGCTGTAGCTCCCGGCGGCTCCGCTGGGCAGCTTGCTCCAGGCCTGGCCTCTTGACGCTGGCCGCCTATGTCCACAGTCTGCAACGAGATCGACCAGTGGCCGGCACCCGCGCCAGGGCAGACCCTGAACCTGCCCATCATGGGAGTCGTCCTCCAGGTGGGGGCTGGCGGCTGGTGTGGGGGCCCGTGTGTGTGGCCCACCCCGCCGGCAGCTGCCCCCTTGGTCCATAGGTGCACATCCCACTGAGAGCGGACACGCCTGAGCCCGGGCCTCCGAAGCAGAGCAGCCATGAGGTGGGTCCCCCGCCACCTGCCTGCCACGACCCTCCCCTCCCCTGCGGGGGTCCTGGGGCCGGCCAGACCCCAGACAAAGCCTGTGACCCAGTGGGGGGCGAGGTGGCCCTGCCCGCTCCTGTGCGGTGGAAACGGGGAAACATGTGGGTAGGGATGCGGCCCGAGAACTCTGCTGGGGGGACGGGGGCCGCTTGGTGCTCTGGGGCACCAGCCTCAGTCTCAGCCTGACCCCTCACCCCTCACAGACCCTGCTGCCGGCCCCGGTGGTCCTCCCCAGCGTCCACGAGCTGGACCTGTTCAGGTGAGCCCTACAGGCCCCCACCTCCCCCCACAGACCGTGAGCGAGCCCCCAAGGTTCAGGCCCATGGAGGCGGGGCTGCCAGGGGCACTGCCCCTTAGGAGTTGGCTCCCGGCCCGTTCTGAGAGGGAGACTCTGGCGGACAGGGAGCCCAGTGCCCAGGTCTGCACCTGGAGGATCCGAGTGCCGTGCGCAGGTGGGCAGATCCTGGCAGTGACGGTGCTGGGAGGTGCCACAGGGGGAGGCCGTGCTCCCTGGAGGGTCAGCGGGGACCCCACCTCTGCAGATCCGCCTTCAGCCTGGGGGCCGCGGAGCGACCTGGACTTGCCCTCAGCAGGCTCCCAAGTCTCTCACTGTTTCCCTCTGGTGTGAGCCTGGTGTCCACTCGGAGCAGGACCCGCCGGGACCTGTGGGGGCAGGTGGTCAGGGCTGGGGAGCACCCCCCCCCGCCTGGCCAACACCCCCGCTGGCCCCCCTGCCCCCCCCAGGTGCTTCCGGCCCGTGCTGGCCCACGTGCAGCTGCTGTGGGAGCTGATGCTCCTCGGGGAGCCCCTGCTGGTCCTGGCGCCCTCGCCTGCTGTGTCCTCAGAGATGGTCCTGGCATTGACCAGGTGGGCTGGGCGGCCGCCCGGGGGGCGGGGCCAGGGCCAGCTGGCGTGCTCACTGCTCCGTGGGCCCCCCCCCCCTGCAGCTGCTTGCAGCCCCTCAAGTTCTGCTGCGATTACCGTCCCTATTTCACCATCCACGACAGCGAGTTCAAGGAGTTCACCACGCGCACGCAAGCCCCGTAAGCACCGTCCTTGGCCCCCTCCGCCACCCCTCCCCTGCTCCGACCCCCCTGCCCCCTCAACAAACGTGGTCCTGGGAGTCACAAACCCTTTCTTTATCAAAACACTCCAGCATTGGCCCCACATTCTCCGAGTTGGGGAGCCCAAGATGTCAGGTGAGGCTGTCCGGGCCTCCACCCAGGGTTCTAGGGATGTGCGTGGGGCCTTGCGGGGTCTGAGCCTGCAGAGACAGAGCTGAGGCCCTGAGGCGCGGCCATGGGGTGTGTCTCGTAGGGGACCTTCCCAAGCAGGTCAAACTGAAAAAGCCCTCGAGGCTGAAGACCCTGGACACCAAGCCAGGTCTGTGTTCCTCTTCTCCTCCCAGGGCCCAGAGACAGGCCTTGGGGTGGGCAGGGGCGGGCAGCGGGGCTGGCACAGCCAGAGGGGGTGCCCCCACCCCCAGAGGAGAGCATGTGGCCCTCTGCCCTTCCCAGGCCTCTACACTGCGTACACGGCCCACCTCCACCGAGACAAGGCCCTGCTCAGACGGCTGCTGAAGGTACCGCTGGGGGTGGGGTGCTCCCTGTGGGAGGGGTACCCGGGCCTGGTGCTTTGGTTCAGCCCTGGTGATCCCCACCCCCAGGGCCTGCAGAAGAAGCGGCCGTCTGATGTGCAGACAGCAGTGCTGAGGCGGCACCTCCTGGAGCTCACTCAGAGCTTTATCATCCCTCTGGTGAGGCCAGCACGGGGCGGCGGGCGGGGGGCAGGCTCTGGCCCAGACTCACTGCCCTCCCGCCCCCAGGAGCACTACATGGCCAGCCTCATGCCGCTGCAGAAGGGCATCGTGCCCTGGAAGGTGTGGTCCCAGGAGGGCCGGGGGTGTGCCTGGGAAGTGCCCCGGGGAGACTCCTAGGCGGCCCAGGCTTGCCCTGGGAGGCTGGTCCTCCCTCACTCACTCGACGCCATGCTGCTGTCGCAGACTCCGCCCCAGATCCGCCCCTTCTGCCAGGATGAATTCCTGCAGGGCCTGGAGCGCGCGGGGCCCCAGCTCACCTGTGTCCTCAAGGGCGACTGGCTGGGCCTCTACAGGTGGGCGGCCTGTCGGCGGGGCCCAGGGCTCCTGCGGCCAGTGGGCGCGCACACCCGCCTGTCAGCCCACGGGAGCCCACAGCCGCCACCCCCCTGCCCCGACAGGCGGTTTTTCAAGTCCCCCCATTTTGACGGGTGGTACCGGCAGCGTCACAGGGAGATGACCCAGAAGCTGGAGGTCCTTCACCTCGAGGCCATCTGTGAGGCGGTGAGGGGGGGCTGGGGTGGGGGGTCTTGGAGGGGAGGCCACGGCCAGAACTGGGGGGACCTTGGAGACAGACAGCCTGTTGTCCGCACAGAACATCGAGATCTGGATGAAGGACAAGTCCGAGGTGGAGGTCGTGGATCTGATCCTGAAACTTCGGGAGAGACTGGTGAGACGCTGCGTGGCCCTGCCCGCCCTTAGCCAGTTGGACGTGCAGGCTGCCTGCCCCTGAGTCCCGCTGTCCCTGTAGGTTCGGGCACAGGGCCACCAGCTGCCCGTGAAGGAGGCAACACTGACGCGGGCACGGCTGTACATCGACACGGCCATCGGCTCCCTGCCCAAGGACCTGCAGGCCGTCCTGTGCCCTCCCTAGGACGGTGCCCGTGGGCTGTGGCCAGGGTCTGGCCGAGCCGCTGTCCTCCCCCGCCCTCCCCAACGAGCTCCCTGCTGCCTGCCACCTGGCACCGCTGTCGTCCAGCAGTAAAGGTGGCATTTGGAACCGCAGCCTGGGCCCCGACTGTTGGCGGCTCATGTGCTAGCCGAGCTTCACCCCACCCTGGGCCCCACCTGCCCGCTCTGAGGTCTTAGGCGAGTGGGGAGGCGGCACGCTGTGAGCCCTGGCTGATCTGATCTGGGCCAAGGCCACCCACCCCCTCCAGACGCCCATCTGCCCGCACCCTGCAGGCCTGGGCATTGCCTTTGATGCGCCCTTTAGACCCACCAGGACGCCCGGCTCAGGACAGAAGACAGAAGGAGGTGGCTGCCAGGCAGACGCCTCCCTCACACAGGCGTGCCCCCCCACCTTCTTGCCTGGAGCGGAATCTCTCCTCCAGTTCTCGCCTGGGAGGGGAGGAGCCGCTTCGACCAGAGGAGTGCTGCCCTGTGGGTTCCACTCGAGGGACACCCTACTGGGCACCCCTCCGGCGCTCGGCCCTGCCCACCCCAGGCTCACAGGCGCTCCAGTGGCCCCCCGTGTGTCCATCAGCCCCCGCAGGCAAAAAAGGGTCTTGGACTCTAGCTAGACCTGGGCCCTGCAGCTAGAGCCCTCCCCAGCCTCCAGAGTTTCAGGGCCCCAGGCTCCTTGACAAGGAGTGAAAGGCCCCCCAAAGTGACCCACGCCCCCGTGGGACACCGTGGAGCACTGGACCCAGGCCGGATCAGTGCTGTCAGCTGCGCCCAGAGGGAAGCTTGGTCAGCCGGGGCAGGGAGGGGTGGGGCGAGGCCTGGACCCAGAGCCCCAGGCCTTCGGGAGGTCCCAGCCTCCCAGCGAAGTAGCCCGAGGCTGCACAGGAGAGGCTCCCTGAGGGCCACTGTCCTCTGGAGCACCCTGCTCCCCAGCAGGGGGGGAGGGTGGTGCCCCCAGATGGCGGAGGCACTGGTCTCAGAACCGCTGGTGTCCGCTTGTTCCCCCTGAGCACCACCTCTGGCAGCCTCGCGTGTGGCTGCAGGCGGAAGACAGTGAGGCCTTCAAGAGAGGGGGACCTCGTGGATGCAATGCCCCCACAGCCCACCCACTCTGGGCCAGGGCGGCCAGGCACGGGTTGCGCCCCACCATCACTGCAGCACATTGCCCAGTCTCCTCCCTCCGTTTTCGGAGGGTGATGGCATGTGCTGGAGGGCAGCCTCAACCGTGGTCCTCCCAGGGCTGGGCTGCAAGGGTGCGCCAGGGTATCCTTGACCCCCCAGACTTCTGCCTCCAGCAGTCCCAGCGGGCACCACCAGATGTCCCTGGATGCCGGCGCCCTTCCTCCAGCACCGCTTGAGTCCGCACCACAGCCCCTCAGCAGCTTGTCCCCCTGGTGGGGGCCGCGGGGGAGGGCTGCCTGGCAGGGTGGGCATCGCTGCCCAGGGCAGAGCACAGCCTGGCCTGGGGTCCTGCCAGCTCCATCCTCCCCCCGGAAGCTCCCTGGTTCTCTCAGGATCAGGTCAGCTCTGGCTGGGCTGAGCCTCTGTCCCTCCCCAGGGCCAGGGCCAGACAGTGAGGAGGGAGGAAAGGTCAGCAGGGTCAAAAGAGGCCAACGCACCACCGACCAGGGCCCTGTGCACAGCCAGGCCTGGAGGGCAGGAAGCAGTGGTCCACGGGGGCTCTGCGGTCAGCCAGTGTGGGAGGCCGTCTGTTTCAGGAGGTTGTGTGTGGGTCTGGAGTGGTGGCCAGGGATGGGCGTGCGACGACAGTGGGCTGATCCAGGGACAGGAAGGACAGTCTTCACCCCCAAGCTTCCTGCAGGCTATTTAAAGCCTCCCTTTTAGTCTGGGATGGGGGCCTTCCCACATCTTTGGTATTAAAGTGTCTGTCTGTGATACAATGCTTGTCTTTTAACTTCCTCTTTTGATGAAAAGTTGGCATCCCTATGAGATTTTGGTAACTTCAGGGTTCTGTTGGTGGGGCGTGGATGGGCCTTGGTGTGGATGGTTCAGGGCTAAAAGGGTGAAGGTGTGGCCTTGCTGGTTGGGAGCATGTCGCAGAAAGAAGTCATGTGCAACCCTCTCCAACAGCTTCATCCTAGTGGGGGGTTTGAGCACTAGAGGCAGGGTGGAGGAAGCTGGCTGTCTGCAGGGAAGGGGAAGTTGGATAGCAGCTCCCTCAGAAAGGGGGGGGGGTCCCAGTGTGGGAGTTAGGGTTAGGGCTGGGAAATGGCCTCACACCCCTCTGGGTCCCCAGCAGCCGCTCACCACACCAGGACTTGTGACTAGAGAGTGTCCATGAGGGAGCAGGAGGACACAGGAGAGCTGGCCTCCTGGCGGGGGAGTGGGGGGGGTCCCCACCTTGGCTCAAGTTGGGTGGGGAGCAGACAGGGGCATCAGGATCAGGGCAGATGGGGCCGTAGTGACCAAAAGTGGGGCAAGCTCTTGTCCGGAACTGGACTCCCCAGGGAGGGGCCCTATCTTGCCACCCACATCCAAGCACTGGAAGGTCAGTCAGTGGGTCCTGGTTACTAGCTGGGGGAGGAGAGGGAGGGTGGCGGGAGGCCAAGGGCCCCTCTTCCCCCAGGAGGTGCAGGGACAAGGCCCAGCAGCCCCCAGCCCCGCAAAGGACAGGTGTGACCGGCCTGTTCCCCAGTCTGAGGGTTGGGGTGCCAGGGGTCTCCATGTGGTGGGCACTCTCCTCCAGAGCCCAGATCTGGGGTCCTCGGGCAGGGAGGCTGAGCCTGAATCCGGCCGAAGCTCCCGGGCGCCGCGCGGTGTTCACCCACTGAGGCCGCCGGGCGCGGGGGCGCGCGAGGAGCGCCCCGCCCGGCGGCCCTCCCCCTCGCTCCCCCTCCCCTCCCCCT